GAGGGGCCGACCAGAGCAGGCGCTGCCGGGCCGGAGTGCGGGGCGGGCCCGGCGAGGGTCGGGGGAGGGGGGCTTGGCTGCACTCAGCCCTGCAGTGCGGAGGTGGCAACAGGTTCCAGTTTGTCCTGCTGCTGGCGCAGCGGGCGCTACTGGCGCCTGGCACCAAGCACTCGCTTTCCAGGTTGGAGGGAAACCACTCCTCAGGCCTCGGGAGACACAGGTCCGCACAACCCCACCCCGGGGGCATCTTGGAGTCTAACTTCCTGTGGCTTCACCATTGCAGAAGTTGCCTCCACATCCCCATCTTCCCAGCCAGGCTCCTGTCACCTCCCCCGGGGAGGGGGGGGGCATGCTCGAGCACCTCAGGAGCGCCTACCTCCCTTGGGGTTGGCCATCCTCTCTCTCCAACCATGCTGAGCTTCCATGACAGGGCAGGTGGGGACATGTGTCTCTCTACCTCCTTATCAGATGGACCTTGCCACCCCCAGTGCCTGCAACGCTGCCAAGCCAGGCACCCCACACTGGCACATTGCAGAACCCCTTGGTGCCTTCAACCCCTGGCCACTCCAGGGTCCCACCGACAGCTGCGGTGGGCCCAAAGGGAGCCCCTAAGCTTGGGGCCCATGGCCAAGTGGCTACCCATCTTTGCTTTTGGGAGCAAGGATGGAGGAATAGGAGACACTATAAGACAGAGTCCCTGCCCTTGAGCACATGGGACGGGGGGGGGGAACTGGGCCCTGATCTGGCCCCCAGCCTCCCAAGCTGCAGCTCTTGGGCATTGCAGCCTCAGAGGACTGACATCTAAAGCAAGGAGGAGGGAGACCACAAGCTGTCCCAGGAAAGGAAGGCTGCCTGGAGGAGGGCATCTTGAGGGGTCCCGAAGAAGGAGCAAAATCTGGACAGGCTACAGAGGAGAGAGGCCCGGGCTGGGGAGAAAGGAGACACACACCAGCCCCTGGGTGCTGGCGGTGGGTCTCATCCCAGAGGCCAAGACATGGTGGGCAATGAGACCCAGGCTGGTGAGCCACTGGGTCAGCGAGGGAGGGAAGAAGAGAGGGAGGGAGGAGGCGAGTAGGGGCCCCGTTGAGGTAGCCCGATCCTGCCCAGCATTACCTTCGAGTTTTCTCATCTCACTCTGGTTCCTGAGCGGAGTCTTCAATAGCACCACTGGACTTAACTAACCTAAACTTAGGCCTTCTAGTGCCTTTGAGCCCTTCACTCCTTAGTTACACGTCTCGTGGTGCTCGTCCCATAAGCCTAGCTCTGCCTTCTTTTACTTAGTTCCTTGGGGTAGATTCCCAGAAGTGGCCAGAGGACGTGGATTTCTTCCTAGCTCTGGATGCATATGACCAAATTAATCTCCAGAAGGGACAATAGCGAATTCTCCAGCAACCAGCCGTAGAGCAGCAGGCCAGTTTCACAGCACCCTTGCCAGTACTGGGTGTTCTCATTTTGAGAGCATTTTACTAGTGTAATAGGTGGGAAATGTTACCTTGTTTTCTATTGTCGTCACCTTGTTTGCTAAGTTTGCTTTCCTTCCATGTCTCAGGTTGAACCTTCCCCTAAATGTCTTGTACCCAGTTGGGTTTCCTCCTTCATGCAGTCTTTTCTGCTTCCTTGCCCATTTATCTATCAGAGTCTTAACCTTTCGATTAATTTGTATGAGCTTTATCTTATCTGCTGTACATTTTCCTTCAACTCTGCTATTTGCTTTAGATGGGTTTTAAGCAGAAAAGGGACATAGAACCAGACTTTTCAGAAACCTCCCCCACCTCGTGTCATTGTCTGGGCACTTATCACACCTGGTATTATCTCGTTCGGTCCCCTGTTTATTACGGACCTGTCCTGCTAGTCTGGGAGCTCTGTGCAAGCAGACGCTGTGTGTCCTGCCTGTTCATCATTCTGTGTCCATGGAAGGTATGGAGACCACCGGCCTCTGCCGAACGAATGTTCTGGTGCAGAGCAGGGCAAAGGGTGGTTGAGGCAGACAGGCCTGGAGGCAGGGAGAGGGCTTTGGAACCTATGACAGTGACCTGGTCAAGAGCTGGTGAATGCAAAGCCCCTCGGCCGGTGCGGGGCAGAGGGGAGAGTGTAGATGTGACAGAGACTTAAGTAGAAAGAAACTACTTGGCTCTGGATGAGGCAGGAGGCAGAGGGAAAAGCCAGGGTGACTCCTGGGAACAGTGAAGTGATGAGGGCAGGGCGCCCCAGTTTAGGGCGAGGAGCTCAGAGCTCCTGCGTGCCTTTGGCCAGGCCTGCGTGAATGAAGGCAGTAGGGGTGCCCAGAAGCTGCCATCTGCCTGCCTAACCCTCCAGCTAGCCTTGGGCAGAGTTCTAGGCCAGAAGGTCGCAGTGGGTTTCCGGTCCTACTACCTCCTCCCCTCCACGATTTCAGTGGCATCCCACGGTAGCCCGAGGTGGTGGCTATGATGAGCCTACTCTATAGATGGGGCCACTGAAGTCCAGAGAGGGGACATGATGGTCCAGGGTCACCAAGTGAGGAGGGATGCAGGCAGTCTTTGGGGCAGGGGCACTGGGCTCTTGTCCCCACCCCTCCCCCTGCCTCCAGGGGCCTGACTGGCGCCGGCCAGGGGAGCTGTGGCTGGTCCCCTGCTGGGCCCCTGACCTGCCCTTGGCCTCTGCCCCAGCCCTGTCCCGCTTGGGTGGAAACCCCAGCTCAGCGCGCCACTTGCGGGGGGCCCACCCGACTGCT